TTCATTTGTTCATTCCCTCGGGAGATAACGTTGTGTAATCACTGTGTGATATGATTGGTTCACTGGAGATCTACAGAGTTGTTCACAGTCTGTTGAGCATCTACTTAAAACAAGATTAAACATGAAGTTTAATCTTTACTTGTTTTATTCTGTACAAAATACCCCTTGATTATTGTAAGTGTTTTATGCCTGTTTCAACAATATTAAGATTTAAATTTGGGTTTCTAGGACTTGATGCAGAGTCCATTTGAATCAATGGAAAGACTCTCACTGACATCAGTGAGCTTTGGATCAAGTCTGTAGTTGCTAGCTCACTTTGTTGGCTATGTAAAGACAGAAGACGGGGTAGATAAGCACCTTTGTAGGCTAACTAAATGAGAGAGAGAGAGAGATTCAAAATTTTTAAGTGCTTTTAATTTGTAATGTTTCAGTAGTGTACAAATGTACAACTGCCCTCCAAGCAAAGCACTACTTGTGAAGCACTTCAGAGTTATTTCTGTTTCACTCAGGTAATTTTTATACGGTTCAGGCTGATTTGTAGCTCTAGAACGCTGTTATGTATCCCTCAATTTTTATAACTCTATAGATGCTGTGTCTGTCCATTTCCTTATATCAGGCTGAAGTCTGTGACAGATGGATCCTCTATGAAGATGCTAATCATTTTAAAAATACCTTTTGCCTCCTAATAGTTTTTTGTGAGCTTGTTGCTCTGTTTTGGATTGCAAGAGGCAGAGTACAAGAGACTCGTATCTGTCAGAATCTTTTAGCAAGAAAATGGCATATATCTGCAGTGTATAGGGAAAGGAGGTTAAAATGTTAATCTTAATTCTATTCTGCAAGTTCACAAATGATATTTTAAATGAATGTGTTTGTTCTGACACAAGAACAGAGTCCAAGTATGTACAGACCTATAATGTGTGCAAAAACTCAGTTATGTGGGAGAAAAAATTATGCCTGTGAAAAAACAGTTTCTTGGGTCTATGCTGCCTTTATTTAATAGGGTACTCAGTTTAACACATTTACTGTTTCAGTCATACAAAATTGTCATATAGTGGTGAATTGCAATGGGTGCCTTTTTGTTTTTCTCCTTCATTTCCCAAAAGGAATGTTCTATCTTGTGACAACCAAAAAAATAATGCTTAAAAAAAGTTTCTTTTTGTTAATCAAATTCATACAATGATAAGTAGGATGAACATTTATGCCCCATCAATGAAGCATTGCAGCTTGCGGCTCTGGAGGCAATAGCTATGATATCTACTGAAAACACAGGTGTAAGTTATGAAAGGTATAGAAACAGTAGTGTAAATTTTAGTGCTGAAAATTGTTTCATTTGGTCATCATTAAAAGCATTCCTCATTAAAAGCATTCAAAAGTATTTTACAATTAAATGTACAGTATTCCCTCATCCAAGATGCACATATGTCAGACCCTCATCTTTAAATGAAAGATACATACTGTAACAGTATGTAAAAGGCATCCAGTGAGTTAGCACAGTTTGTAGAGTGGTATTGAACTATTTTGGTTTGCAAGAGATGGAAAAAATCTCTACCACAGAAATTGGTAAACCATTGCTGTGGGAAACGTGTGATTACTCAAGGGAAATATTAGACTGCTGTACCCTACTGCACACTCACAGCGGAGAGGAATGGTGGACCACAAAGCAGTCAGCAGATAGTTAAGTGTAAGATGAGTTGATCATTTCCATTGAGTTCATAGGAGGGTGATGTCCCTGTTGCAGCTGCCATAATCAAATCACAATCTGGTCTCTAATCAATCCTTCCCTTTGTTCTCTGGTAGAGAGAAAAAAGTTTTTCTCTATCCAGTGTTCCTCCCCTTAAGTATGTTCAAATTTAGGTCAGACCTTCTGAAATTAAGACCACTCATTCTGGAGTAAGAAGTGATCTATTGTTTTCATACAGGAACCAGTCTGTCTTTATTATGGACCTTTCAGCATCTTTGGAAATGACTGACACTGCTACAGCAAAGCCTTGAGGACACTGCTAGATTGTCTGGAATGGCTCTTTGGTGATCTCAAAGATATATATATATAGGGAAGATAGCTAGTGTTGGTGGATAAGTAATCATACTCCCTGAGAGGTCTGGTAGCCTAGATATATGGATGGTGCTCATCTTGTCAGTGTCATTTGTAATGAAGGAGGGTGATTGGTAGAATGACGGTATACAGGTGTGTGGTATATGTCTCTTCCCCTGTTAAGTCTGATGGTCCAATCTTCTCCTTATACCTTTTATAACTAAGAAATGGTGCTCCAAGCAAAGAGAGTCACAGATGTCGCAGAGGGGTTGAGATTAGTTATCAGTGTGTGGGTGGTTCACAGTACAGACATGGGGAATTACATTTTAGCAGTAAAAGCTGATCTGATTCCAGTACAGAAAAGCTCTTAAAAACAAAAGCAAGGGCACCCTTCAAACTAATTGACCATTGTTTCAACAGTTTTTATTTTTGTTTTGGTACCAAATGGAGAAAGGGGGCAGCTCATTAAGTATAACTGTATGAAGTTGGCTTTAGATCTGTTTTCTTCCTAGAGGGTGGACCTGAAATATTTTAAGTTGTATCATTTTCCCTTGGTATGAGCCTTTATTTAGGTTCCTGACAATCTTTGTCTTGCAAGCTGTAAAATAGGGGCTCTCTGAGTTATCTAATTTAAATGAGGAAACTGTTTTGTGTAATATTCTAACAATTCAGTGAAAACACTATCTCTATCAGCATGAACATGTTAAGCCAAGACCGGAGAGTTCTAGAAATGTTCTTTTTTACTTGAATTAATCAGGACAGTCTGAGCTGAAACACAGGCCCAGTTCTCCAGTGCCCTCTGGCTGCTTTATGCTGCTTTGCCAGCGTAAAAGAGCTGAATCCATAACTTACATGGCCATAGGAAGGTAGTCCTGTCTGAAGAAATCCCCAGGTGACACAAAGCCCTCACAACTGCTTCTCTGCATGATTTAAAGTAGGGGTGTTATACAGACAGCTCACAGACTGGATCCAGCCCCTGGAGCTGTTCCATCTGACCCACCAGACTGTCAGCATGGCTATGGGGAATAGCCTGCCGGAAGTCTGGGGCTTGAGGGCCCCAGTGGATGTGGCAATCAATAGCAAGAGGGCAAGTGAGGGCTGACACAGCTCTGGTAGCCCTCTGGCCACTTTGCCCATCCACACTGCTGCAGCCCCACCTCCCTGACTCTTAGCTTCTGCCATGTGCCCCATGCCAGAGCTGGAGCCGCCACCATGACACAGGGCATGTAGTGCAGCAGCTCTGGCTCTGGTTCTGGCACAGGACAGGTAGTATTGGTGATGGCAGCTTTGGCTTTGGCACGGGGCATGTACCAGGGGCTAGAGCTGCCACTGTGCGCCCCAGCTTGAAGCCAGAACCAAAGCCAGAGCTGCTGCCATAACTTTCTTGTGTCTTGGGCTGGATACAGCCTGCAAGGAGCCCCACAGTCCAGATCTGCCTGAGGGCACAAGGTACGTTTGACACCCCTTGTTTAAAGTATGAGGAGTGAAGAGAGGAATGCAGTTCTCCTTTCTTAGTAGAAGCAGATGGGGACTCCTTCTGTACCAGGCTTGAAGAATAGATTCTTCTCTCTATCTTACCTCTCCTCCTGTTTTGGCCTACTGCTTCTCTGCCACCTCAGGACTTGTACCTAAGGGGAGGCATCTGAGGCATAGGGGAAAAGTGGGGTTGGGACTAGGACATCCCTATACCACAGCAATCCATGACTGCTGGACCAGGACCAACCAGCCCCAGTATCAGGGAGTTGCAGAACCATTTGTTGCCAGACCTGAGACTTGCCCTGAGCACAAAATAGCTAGATGAGAGCATTTAACATGTGCTGCTACCTTTTAATGATGTAGGATACTGTTAATTTCACCTTCCTATATCAGCAGCAGTGAAGATTTCCAGGCCAAATTCTGACTTAAGTTACTTCTTACATAAATTCCCATTTTACTTATGTTCTCCTGAAACACATCTGCAAGGACATTACTTCAAAATTTTCCACTTGTCATTGTCGCTGTAAAAATTGAGCTGATATCAGAGTTTACTGGGAGTCAGATGAAGCCGGTGGGGATAGATGGCACTGTATTGAATTGTAACGTGCTTTTCAGTTGTACTTACGTATCAAAAGAGCTGTTGCATGCACATGCATGCACAATATCTGTCCATATCCCAGTGTTCAAATTTTCATACCACTTGTTTCTCTAGAATGTTAGGTTCCTTTGCATGACCAAACCCTCATTTCAGTTCAGTTCTCAGCACTGTTTTTGTATAAATATCACTGGAGCAATAGCCCTAAGGCTTCAGAAAAATTGTACTGGACTTACAGTTGGGAGCTGCCTACGTAAGTCCTTTTTTCCTTAAGAAATAAAACAACTTGACACTTGCAATTCTGTCCTTAGGAGCTCAACACAACAGTTGTAACTGAAGCAAAAGTCCCCTTGACTTAACTAGGGACTTTTGCCTTTGTTAGGATTGTAAATGGAGGCCCTTTTAAGGGTAGAAGACAGATTGAAAATTGAATAATGGTGACCAGAATAAGGAGATGAATTCAAACCTTAGGAGGCAGAGAATGATAAATGAGGATAACATACATCACTGTTTGAGGGTGAAGGAGCTAGCAAGCTGCCTGTTCTGTATTAGAGAGAAGAGGTCACTAATTCCAGGCTTTGATAAAAATAAAAAATGAAGACATAGGCAAGCATGAAAGCATTCCAAGGAATGCAGAGAGTTGCTATGTGGAAAAGGGAGGACAAGATACCTTTGTAAAAAGTTGTTTTCATGTATTCCTTCTTGCATATGCAGCAACCCCTTTTGTATAGAAGGGGAACTCTTATACAAGGCAATGATGTCTGCTCTATAAGCTGCCTCCTTAACCAGCATCAGGACTTTTCTTGCTATCTTTATTTTGTGAAACTTTCCTTTATTCAATTATAGGAACTTCTTTGTCTTCATTTAATTTCTCCTGTTTGCTTGCATTTTTTATAGTTGTACAATTTTGGAGAAACAGTGTCTGTAGTTTTCTGGACAGATACATGGAAACCAGAAAGCTTTTTTGACAAAATCGGAAAGAACAGGCAGAATGGAATGCACACACTATGCTTACTTGGTAAGTGACATTTGTTGCAATGTTGCTGCCACATTGTATGCACCCAGATTCAGGAATTAGTATAGGGGAATCAAGGAGGTCCAAAGGAACTAGACTTCTACAGAATTCAACAAGGAGCAGATTTCTATATGTTGCTAGATGTAGCATGGGATTAAAGAAAAATATCTCCACCGTGGGATGCAAATCATCTTGCAGTAATTACCATGTCTCATGTGATTGTGTTTTTTATTCTAGATTTTAATGGACTTGACCTTGGAGGAGACAAGCCCTGTAAATAGTCAAAATTCCATTGTTTTCTAGTATAATTTTTCCAATGTGACAGGCTCACCTTGTGTAAAATAGCACTGGAAAGCAAAGATTTTAAATTGATTTATTTAATTTAACATCAACTCTTCCAATATTTTCATCTTTGTTTACTGCCTCCTCTGATCCAAGGTTTATAACTCTTTACTGCAAGTACATAGCTTTATGCCTAACTTTGCTTACATGACTAGCCCTGCTGAAGTTAATAGAACAATCCATGTGCACTAAAGAGCATGCAGGATTGGGCCCTTATGTCAGGACTCCAGATATAAGCGCTCAAATAGTCTCTGAAAGAATTTCTCTCCGTCTTTTAGTCTCACCAGGGAGTTGGCATATAACAAATCAATAATATTTTAAGTAAATCATGCACAGTATTCTGTGGTAGCTGGAAGAACCCTGCTCTGGAATCCATTGAAACACATTAGGATCAATATACAGCAATGGAAGTTGCTTCTTTTTGGAGTTTGTAAAATGAGAGGTTGGTAACTTGTTTTAAAGAGAGATAAACTTCACTTTCAGATGGGATATAAATTGCTCTTATTATTACGTTACACAGAATTAAATTTCAAAAATGAGAAAAAATAGTTTATTTGCTGTATACTTGTTAGCTTTTTTGTAAAGTCATTTCCCTTTTTGTGTTTACTTAACTCAGCAAAAGGAAAGGCAAACTGCTTAACACACAGAAAAATTTAATTGTGAATCTGAAAGATCTGTGGGGGATTCAAGGCAGTTGTGATACTTGACTTTAATTTTATCTCAATTTGAAAATTGCCACATTTAAAATTATTTTTCTTTAATGCCACTTATGGTCTTCATTTTGATCGGCCAGTTAAATTTCAGATTTAAGTGAATATATTTTACACATGAGTGAAAGCAAATTACAGAAATGGTGCTAAACTTTCTAAATCCAGAAGTGTAAAATTGTTGGTTTGTAATCAATTTATGATAAATGCTGTGCCTGTAATTTGAACAACTTTGTATTTTAAAACAAGATTTGCACACACACACTTTCCGCAAAGTTATCTTGCTTCTGATGCCATTACCCAAATAATGTCATCTTTTGTTGAGATTGAAAATGTACCACAACTTGTACTTTGGCAGTGTTCTTTAGACTTTAAATATGTATCAAAGCTGATTGCTGTAAATCACCCATCTCTGTTTACAGATTAGCATGCACATTCATTTGAATACAGCCAAATCAGTGTGTGATCGTACAAGCGAAACATTCTTCTGTTCTGTACATAATTTTCACTGCTGCATAGTGTAGCATGTGAAAGCTGTTAGAAAGAGGTTGTAGAACGAAAAGTTTCATAACATTTCAGTTGCTATGTACTAAAAAAAAAAATTGGTTTCCAGGATTTGATTGGACTTAACCGCTAACCTGAGCTTTGTCCTTTTAGGATGGTAAGAAAAATTACTATAGTTCAGTCCTGTTTTACCTTCGGCCCATTAAGGTCCAGCTGGACCTAGAATCTGTACACAGTGTGTGTAATGCATCTGCTTTGCAGAAGCTTGTAAGATTAGTATTTTGAAGTTTATCATTTCTGCACTTACTCTCCCATTGTAAGTGAATCAGTTATTCTTGTACACAAGTGTACTTTTATGTCACGGCTATCTTTTCTACAGTCCTGAAATTGATGCAATACCTACCTTTAACAATTTCTCCTCTTTTCCTTATAACCATAATTATTCCTGGGTAATAATGTATGAAATCCACAATACAGCTGCATAACTTTTGCCAGTAATCCAGATTTGTAAATCTCACAACACCTAGAATACCTGTATATGAAAATGTTTAAAGAACTTGGTGATTTAAACTACCCACCTGTTACCATTTTAGACAACTGAGAAGTCTTCAATTAAGATGAAGTCTATATCTGTGCCTGTATCTAATGTTACTGTTTTATCCACAGACATTAAAGTAAAGGAGCAAAATCTGGAGAATCTGATGAAGTGAGTTGCCATTTTGAAAATACATATATATGGTATACAAAGCATATTCCTTTTTCCTTTAATATAAGCATTTTTAATATATTGTTTATTGAACTATGTTCACTTGGTTGTATCAGAGATCTGCACCATCTTAACCATCTCCCAATATACCAATATATTGTGACAATGGGAACTGTAAACTATCATTTCTAAACATGCTGTGACTCTGGCCTAGATTCACATTCATAAAGTCTGACAGAATAACTGAGGTTTGTTTGTTTTGGAGCTTCATTGTAATATTTGTTTGAATGAATCCAGAGCTGGCAAACTAGCTGAAAGGCATTTTGTTGGGGAATAAGCAAATAGGTTTCTAGTCTGTGATTTTGTCTGTGTGATGTTTAATAGGGAAACAGTAGAACTTGCCTTTGACGTGGAATATTTTAGTTCCTCTTTTCAAGTAATTGCATAAGTCTCACTTCAATCTTAAAAGCAAACTCTTGGCCAGACTATGCCCTGCTGCTACACAAGTGTATAGAGAACATCAGGGATTGTTTTCTGTTGTTGAAATCCAGAACGAGAGCCAGACACTATTTAGGTTGTGTTAGCTGTTTCATGGGTGTCACCCCACTAAAATGTTACGTGTGCTTCTGTGTAAGGGATGATGGAATGAAAGAATGACACTAGCCTTGGATTTTGTTGTTTAATGGTGTTTGGCAAGGCAGCTGTTAAAATTGTTTTCTTTTCCATCAGGGGAAAAAAGATTTATGAACCTCCACGATACATGAGTGTGAACCAAGCTGCAGAACAGCTTCTAGCTATTGTTCAAAACCGGAGGCTCCAAGGAGAAGAACCAGGTACTTATAACGCAGTTGTTATCCACAAGCACTCCAGGCTCCCTACTTTCCAGATTCCATCCTGAATAGTCAGACTGTACAATGCTGCCCAGTGCCTATTAATTTGAACATTGCTTGACCAACAGCAGAACTAGCCAACCCTACAGTCTAATCACAAGATGCATTTGGCAAAGGCCAAACTGTACTGCAGTTCAGTGAGCACTGATAAATGGGAGTTAGTGGCTCCTGGAGATGTAGCCAAGGCCTTAGTCTGGGAATCCCATAGTTACCATTCATCTGGGACCTTTAGGATGAAGCTGTTTGAAAACTTGGAAAGGAAAGTTTTTTGTTTACCCTGGGCTTTAGAGCATGGCCAAAGGGAAATGTCATCCTTCAAAATGTCCTAACTCTATCTTGCTAATAACATATTAGGCAACTGCAAACAAACCAACTCAGGCACCTTGGCCCCATAACTGACAGCAAGGTGGAGATCTGTATTTATATAGCATTGCTTTTTTCATTACCTGTTCTGACAATATGATTTTCTTTTGCACTGGTATGAATCCAAATTAACTCTGCTGATTTCAGGCAGTTTGCCTGAGCCTGTGCTGGTGTTACCAAGCAGAACATAGCCTTGGAGTCTTCTGCAGTTTGTGCAGCCAGGCTGGGATTTGAATACCTCAGAAATAGAGTTGGGTATTGAATTTCCCTGTCAGCAGCAGCAAGGCTAAACAAATTGTCATGAATGAATCCACTAAAACTAGGTTTGATTTTTTTTACTTACAGAACTCCATTTTAAGGCATATCACCTGACCTTATTCTCTACTAATTTATACTTCTAACACCAGGAATTAAAGTAAAGCAAAGTATAAAGATAATCTCCAATACTCTTTGAGCAGCTGGAAGTGTTTCCTGCCTCTGGTTTCTCTAAACCAATAATGGCAGATGCCAGAGAGGGTATTGAATAGGGAACAGATCACTCTAGATCAGGGATGGGCCAAGTCTGGTCTGTGGGCCAGGTCAGGCCTATAGCGGACTCCATTTACCAGCAGCCCCTGCCCGTGTTGCTGAGGTCAATTTCCATGGCAACCCCAGCAGCAGTAGCATAGAGCCAGGGTTTCTGTGGAGACCAGCCCCAGCAGTGCTGGGGCGTCCAGGCAGCTCTGCCCTGATCCAGACAACGCTCACCACTGCTAGATCCCAGCCACAGAGCAGCTCCCCATCCAGCTGCACACCCTGCCAGCGCTGCAGGGGCCAGTCTATGGAAACCCTGACCCCATGCTGTCATAGTGTTGCTGCTGTTGGGGTCTCCATGGAAACCAGCTGCAGTGTAGGCAGGGGCTGCTGGGAAATGGAGTCCTGCCACTAGCTGGATCCACCATTTTGCCCACCTGTTTTAGATCTATCCAGTTCAGTCCTCTCCCTCTAGCACCCACTTCTGCCATTGTTAGAGACAGACTACTGGGCTAGATGGACCATTGGTCTGACCCAGCGTGCCACTTCTTACATCCTTATGTTCACATGTATTGACAGTTCCTGAGTGGCAGTCTCAGAGGAACAAATCCCCTTATATTCAGTTTATCTTTCCATGTGTTTTGTTGGTGGAGTGGCAAAAGCTACTTGTATTTGCTGCACCCCATCTTATTATTAGCATGCTGCTTCATTATAGTACTACTGTAGTCTCAGAGAACACACTACCATCACAGTTTGCAGTGAACCTCCTGACTTTATTTAGAGTTTTAATTAAAAGTAGGTGCTCAGGAGCAGGGATCCTGGTCTTCTCTGATAAAACAACAAAACAAAACCCCAATTTTCAAATTAAAAGAAGTAACCCCAAATCTATGTTTCTGTGATTAAAATGAACTGCAATATATGTATTTTATTTATATGATTAACATTAATATATGTATATTTATATGAAATACATATAATAGCAGTTCATTTGAATCATGGAAACGTGGATTTGGGGTTACTTCTTTTAATCCGAAAATTGGAGATTTTTTTAATCAGAGAAAATCAGGATCCCTTCTCAGGAGATTGACTAATTCCACAGATGTTTGAATCACTATGTCTTTAGTTTTCAGTGTGCATATATTGCTCAGTAAATCATGTGGCTTAGTATAATTAATATATGTTCACAAGAAAATAAGTGATAAGAGGAATTCTTTACTAGGATGGAAACTTTATTTTCTTTGTTGCAGAAATTACCGAAGATACCATCTGTGTTGGCCTAGCAAGAGTGGGTGCCACAGATCAGAAAATTGCTTCGGGCACATTACAAGAGCTGTCCACAGTGGAACTAGGCGGCCCACTACATTCCATGATCATAACAGGAGCTATGCATCCATTGGAGATAGAAATGCTTAAACTTTTTGCTGTGGATAAATTAAGTTTTGAAAATAAAATGTGTCAAAGGAATACATGAATAAAGGTGCCTTTCCTAGCCCTCTGCATTGTAGCAGTTGTTTGTCCTTAAATTTCTAAAACACTGGTTCTTAATATTTCTAGATTCAAGGCCCTACCTTGGAAGATGCCCCCTCTGAACTTTTACTTGCTAGTCACAGAAAAATGACAGAGCACTTTTTCTGCAAAGAACTCAGAACATCCAAAACAGGGCAGCCTGCTTTAGATGGTAAGAATTCTGATTTGAAATCTCTGGGTTTATCTTGTGAATCGTGTAGGTGTTTGCATATCTAACACAACTGATATTGTGCAGCACCTTGAAAAGGATCATGTGGCACCCTTGGGTGCTGTGGCAACCTGGTTGAGAATCCTTTTTCTAAATTACCTTGTATTAATCGTATGCATAGATAAATGGTATGACATGATGTAGGGGGAGAGGAGGGTTATCAGATGATCTATGGTAACGTTCAGCTATCTACTTTATCTTGCGGTAAGTGGAAGTGAAACAAGTGCTAAACAACAATTCAGCTTCTGTGAAAAATGAAATTGAGCAGACACATGGAACAGTTATCAGACATGCTAAGACTCCCTATTTTTTAAACCTTATATTTGAACATTCCTTCTTCAACATGAATCCATGTTTTACATGGGAAGATGCCAAAATTGCAAGAAAAGTTCCTGCTAAGCTCATTTTGATTGATCCCCTGTTCCAGGGGAAGGGCTCATCTCTAAAAGGCTTTGAACCACATTTGTTCTCGAGCAGCCCACGGTTTAAAGAGCAGGATGAACAATGTAAAGAAGTGGGCAAAGGCTAGAGCTGCAAAAAGCACCTGTACTTTGATATTATCATGATGCGTACAGACTGATCTGAAGCAAAGTGGGGAGCAGGCCAGTACACCTGAAAACACCGGTATACTCTCAGCCCCTTTCCTGCTATGCCTCCTTGTCAGGAACACCCTTCACCAGAGCAATCCAAATAGCTATTTAAAAGATCCCTTTGTCTTTGGGCTGTTATAGTAGTAGGGCCTTTGGGGTATTATATGTAGTGAGTATGTATGTCAGAAGTTTAATTTTTGCATGCAAACTTACTGGTCATTTGTGAATCACAGTCCTGAAATACAAATGGGGATTATATAGGGACCTGCCAGCCTTGTCCATAAATCCTGCCACTTCCTTGGAGGATAAAGCACAGAAGAGAACTTTGCAGCCTGGGGAAACTGAAGTAGGAAGTTTATCTGAAAGGAAGGGAATGGAGAAAAGCCACCTGGCATCGCTCATATCAACAAGTTTCAGCCTTTGGAATCGGAAGCTTTAGATCATTTGGTGGCTTTCCTGGTGTCTGTCATATGCTTAGGAAGTGTGACCCATCTGTTCTGCACTGAAGGCAGAGAAAGCTACTTTTGAATGCAGTTTTCGGAACCTGCTGCTAGTAGATGATTTTCCAAGATCTTGAACTATTGCCCTTTGGGCATATCATAAAACAGTAGGAAAAGGAAGCATGTGTTTATTTTTTCTCTTTTCTTAAACCAGCATTTTATTAGAAGAAAATCTGATCCCAAACAATCTCATTTTCAAATACATAAAATATTTAACATGTTACATAGACTGTATTCAAGTAGAAAACAGTACATTAAAAATTTCTAATATTGCACTTAGGGCAAGTCTTGGCTAGTGTTACCACACCAAATTTGAGTATGTAGTCAACTGTCTTAAGACATGTTTACAGGTGCTCTGGTAACACCTCTTAAAAATTAAGCCCACTATAAAGAGTACTTTTCATATATTTGAAAATTAACAGATAAAGCAAACCAATGTATTGCGTGTTGCTAATGATTTTGGCAAGTTTTTCATTCATACTGTTTCATGTGTAAGCAAGCCAACTTGCTGTGTGCAGCTACACTCTTAAACCAGGTCCTGGTGCATGCGCGCACACACATACACATCCCGCCGCCACTACATGTGCTGTCATGTTCTCGAGGTTTTTGGTATATGTGGGAAGTGAAATATGCAAACCTCTTTACACAACACGATTTCTGCAAAACACTATGCAGAAAAAAATACCACAGAGGCAGGAACTGGTGTATGAAGTAAGGCTTCCAAAAACCAACAGGTAGGTTATTCTGTGCGCGCACATACTGATACACAAAGAATTAAAAGCTCTGTTACCAGAAAACAGTGGGAGCATGCACAGCACCTTGTCACAGGACATTATTGCAACCTCTAGGCAAAGGCTGAGCAGGGGCACTAGCACAAGGACTAAAAAGGGCATAAAACCCAGAAAGGAGCCCTGGAAATTTGCAGACCATGGATTTGTGCCAGAGAAAGGGGAAGGAGGAAGTAACTATGGAGTGGGCAATGCCACCGAATACAATACAGAGTTCTTAAGAGCATGGGCAAAAACTACTACCTATTTTGTTTTTAAAAAACTGCATTACAGTTGTAGGATCTGGGTGGGAGAAAGCTCCTATGTACTTTTTATTCCAGTGCAGGATAATCACATGAAGTTTAAAAAGGAAATGAAATTAATTTGACAACAACTGAACAATTACTGAAAAAAAACAGGACAAGGCTTAGTGAATCAGCTGCTTGTCAGACCTGTTTCTCCCACATTTAACTGGATGGAAATCTGTATTAGGATTCTTGTAAAAATTCAGTATCTCTAACAACCACTTTCTATTTCATATGAATCTCAAGATCATTGTAGCTCTAAGTCAGCTGGTGTGAAGGGGCATTGAATAATTTTCCTTGTAAATTCAATTAAGCACCATAGCCTAGAATGAGATAAGGGTAGTGTTGAGGAACAATGCTCTTCAACAGCCACTACTCCCTCCCCTCTGCTATCTCGTTTGCATCCCCAGTTACTCAAGTTAAGTACAGATGTTATTTCCTTCCTCCCTGCTTCTACCAGCTCTTTAATTCTTAAAAAATATTAGAAAAACAAACCATCAAACATCTCCAAATATGGTTACTCTTGTTCAGTAGCATTGAGTTTCCACTTATAGGAAGTCAGATTTTAATTCTTCATGCAAACGGCAGCCTGCCTAAAATGTTTTAGATTTTAAAGATATCACAAGTATATATGGATACCTTTTGCCAGCTCTCACTGCTAACTGGAAGACTGGCTGTAGTTTAGTAAAAGAGTGAATTACAAAAAAAATACTCGGTTAATTTAATTTGATGAAATTATTTTTATACTAATTTAATACAAGATATTGCTGTGGGATTAAATATGAGATCTACTTAGGCTCCAATCATAAACAGAGATTAACTTTAGTCTTGGAGGTTTACAGGATCAGAATCCAAGATTACACACTCATGAAGAGAGAGGGTAGTCTCCTCCAGGGTGTGTGTCAAGCAATATCGAGGGCACTTTTTCCTCCACCAAGTTTCAGGAATAAGATTAATTAAAGTACTTGCTGTTACATTTTCACCACGAGTTGAATGGGACTACTAAGTTTGACAATTACTAGGTTTGCTAATTAGTAAAATGTAAAAAGATGCCACACCAGAGTTTCTGTAGTTATTATGCCATTCATTTATGTGCAAGTCAAAGTTTTATGAAAGTTGAAAGTTCTGTGAACTTGCCTAGAATTATTCCAGTTTTCAGTCACGAGAAATAGATACAGTAGTACTGGTCTGAAATGCACAAAATGTACTTGGGAAAGAACTAACTAGATCAGAATCAAAAACATCATCACTCAGACGGGTCATCTTTACAGCTGCATCCATCTTTGGTCTTCTGACAATTTTGCCAATTGGTATGTCCCATTGGTGTACTAGAAAAGGAATCTTTCATGTTATCATTAAGCAAAAGAGACACTAGGAAGTTGGTCTTGATGTTCAAGGTTCTGGAGTTTTAAATGACCTATGTGACTTTTAGCCTCCAAAAACTGTAGCATTCCTAACCCCAAGCTGAATCAGTTCCTTAGTAGGTAAACCCCCTTACCCCCCCCCCACCCCCCACCCCCGGGTAATTGCTATCATGCCATTGGACTGAATGTAACCAAGGTAGGTTTACACAAACAAGAAATACCATGTCATCCATGTTTTTTTGACCAATTTATTGGTGCTTCTCCTTTTAAAATAAGTCTATTCAGCAAAAATAGTGTAATTCAAAACAACAGTATCATCATACTGCTGACTGCAAGCAACTGGCTTCAATACATTATCCTTAGCCTTAAATTACGATTTTCAACAACAAATGTGGAATTCATCTGTGTCTTGCTATAAAACCTCAAATTATCCCCAGTATGATTAAGATTGTATGATCTTGATTAAAAACCATATACACATTTCTGGTTAGGAAATAACCTAGCCCTGTGTTTGTGTTTCTAAGAGTTTTAAATTAAAGATCTGGCGAGGCAATACAAAAAAAGTTGCCAAAAATGTTTAAAAGCACTTTTCAGTAAACTTCTCTGTGCAGAAAATTAATTATATTCTCAGTCAAGAGCTGTCTTTTGGCAAGACAGATTAGCCATACTGTTTGACGTGTTCAAGAAAAAAAAGCAAGCAACATCCAGACAGTTGCTCCCTTACAGAAAGATGTAGAGCACATCACAACAACTGAAAAACCATTTAACTAAAAGTTAAAACATTCACAAGTGGCCAAAGCCTAACCTTTCGGTCCGTGCTACACTCCTGTTTAAAGACCAGGATTAAGAGTTCTTGCTTATTAGACTTTAAACAAAGTCGAGGCTCTGAGTTCTATATTCAAAATATTCACATACCTACAAGCCCATTGGCTTAAATGGGATTTCAGGGATTTCAACAGGAGGATATGTGCCTAAATATCTTTTGGATCTTGCCCCAAGTCTCTACAAAGACTAATTTGCACCAAATGTCAGCTCAAGATTCACTGCTTATGCAATTTAGATGATGGAAGTTGGCTCTTGCTTTTAAAATGATGGTTTAAAATGACAGAACATCATGTTCAGCATTGCTGAAATAATCTGAACAAAAGGGAAGGAATAGAGAAACCAGACCACAAAAATCAGAAACAAAAGACACCAACAATCCATTTATGTGCAAGAAACTACAAAAAATATAGGCTGCAGCTTGTTAGGGATTTGAATCACAGCATCTTACTTGGTACGGATTTGAATCACAGCTTTATATGAAATATGAATTCATTATTTGCATTTTCATCTCATTTCTGGATTACTCATGTCAAGGAACAGATAAGTCATTGTTGGTTGATAAATTAATAAATGTGAAAATATGGGCTAGGACTGGAGTAGAATAAAACAGACTCGAAGAACTTCCTTATCATCTCCGATGTGGAAGCTGCATACTTTAGTAATATACCTAGAATTCATACCAGTCCCCAGCAGCTATGATTTTTCCAAAAAGCATCCTTGCCTTAGTTTACTCTACAAGGCACGGTAAATAAAATACCCATTTCTTTTTCAAAAACAAAGTTTCATATGAAAAATGGCATATTTGTTTCTAGTTAATAAAACTGAGCCTCCCTTGTTCAGAATGATGAACAACTTCAAAACTGGAAGCCAAAGACACATATTCAGTTTCTAAATTCAAACAGTAGAAAGAGAAAATATACGAAGTGTTACAATTTAGTAGAAGCACTAAATCTATAGTAACAGGTGAAGTAGGATTGTCTTAGAAACCTATTTTGGATTCAACATGGAAAGTAATATTGACACTAGGAAAATATGGTCCAACTGGGTGTTTCTGGAAAAGCTGTTCAAGAGTGAAAAAGTTATTATTATTTATGGAACACACAAAGCATTACAGAGAGAAATGCTGAAAGCAAAATCAAAACCTGTCAACCTAGAATGTAACCTGAAACAGCACATATGCTAGTCGTCATTTCTCACTTCTGGTCCAATTGCCAGGGAAAGCTCCCCATCCCAGTTCTCAGTGCTGTCAGGGGCAATGACTTCCTCTGCAATCCCTTTCATAGTCTTCAAAAGTCCATCATAATCTATTACAATCTAAGAGATTAAGTTTCACAACCAAACTTATTCAGGAAAAAGTCACTGTTTCAAAGATACAGACCAAGGCAGCACTTTCATCACCACCACTTCCCTACAACTACCTCTCCTGTTTATATGATGACATATGAATGTGGACATAGATCATCAGATCATCTCTAATTACTGCAACAAGATTGAAAGGCTGTTCCACTTAGTGTGTTAAATCAAGGTCTAACCAATTAATTTGGTTAAAAGAACCCTTTGCACAAGAGATATTTATCAAAATATCCAGTCTGTTTTGAAAGCAAGTTTCCCACAATGATAATGTCAAATTTTAAGCAAAATTAACTCCTGCTCATTTGGGTAAGATGCAACAATAAATGGGGTTTAACAGCTACAATTATGGAAGTACACAAAAAAAAATCACATATATCACAAGCAAAAGTCAGACTGTGTACAAATTACAGGCATAAAAATAATAAAAACCCTTGATATTCTGCATCTATGCTGGCAAATACTTTTGCTGATATAAAAGGCACTTTGAAAACCCAATATGGTTTGGTTCATTAAGTTTGCAAAGTACAAACAATTTTACAAACATATGATTATACTGAAGAATGTCAACCATTGTGACATTATGTACAAAACATTTCCAATTCTTGGTAACACTGCTTTTATGGGAAGGAACAGTGGTTTCAGCAGCAGCTTTGAAGATCTGACCCAGGGCTCGCAGTACCATATTCTTATTGAAACAAATGTAAAAAGTAAAAACAACAAAAACAACCCCCCCCCACAAAAAATAAAAAGTTTGGGGGCCACAAAACACAAGACCTAAAGTTCATAACACATTCTTTTGATATTTACTCCTCAGAGATGAATCCCATAAAAGTAGCCCAGAGATGGTAGTTCATTCAATCTTACTGAACTACGGGAGAGAAGGCTCTTCCTCAAAAAGTAGAGTTTATACTGTTACAGTACCAGAAAACTTTGGTCCAAAGAACACGTTTATGATGTTCTCTACATGGCAGCAAAGTCAATCTGTACATAAAGCTGTCTTACTCCCGCCTGTAAACAACAGAAAAATAGAAAATTAGTGAACTGGGCAAGCATGTCCCACTCAACTGTACCCTAGTTACTTCCTAAAAATTTACCTGGAGAACTACCTAATGCATCTGCTAAATACTTACATACTTTTCTTGTAATGCTTCCACCATTCTTAACCAAGCATCCATCAGAAGTGGAACTACATGAGCCCAAGAGTCAAAGATTTGTAGGGATGCTACAAAGTTAAAAATGTGCATCTGAAAGCATAAATCCTTCACATACAGTCTAAAAATTCACAACTACTACAGTCTAATATATGCAAGCTTTTAAATAACATCAGCCTAATATCTCAAGTCCTCTTCTTACACTGCCCTCTTTAATTAAGCCTTTCGTAACTGCTGTGCCATGAATGAAACTATTCCCAGATAATTTCTATTGTCCTCATTCTCATAATAAACCTTTAGCACTGATCTCACCATCTCAAAACAAAAGTAAACCCTTGAAACGGTGCCAGCTCAAGTGCAGTACAGCATAACAATATGACATGTAGGTTTGAAATATGAAGCTGCCCTACAGCATAAAAGCAGGAATTTCAGAAAAGGCCAGTATTGTAATGGTGTGTATGAGAAAGGCCAAAACACCTTTTGGGCATACAGATTATAAACCACTTCTTTCAAAAGCCCTAACGAGTTTAAATGTAAGGAATTCCCTTAACTCTAATACCATTCTATATAAATAACTATGAGTGAAATCATTCAAAAACTATTAGCCTCAAAGTCAGTTACATAGATAATGATGATCCCCACACACTTCTGGTACTTGACTGCTTCTCAAGAATTTAAGAACAGAAATTATAGCAACAATCCCTTCACATTCCTGTCATCAAAATATATTAATGTTATTTGCTAACTCTTGTCAAATGTGCATGCATTTCCTCCAAGAAATCAAGGTATCTTGTGGAAAAGACAAGCCAAAAAGTTGTGCATCTTGTATTGTAAGTGCAGAGTTCAGTGGTCATTTCCCACAGAAATAAATTCTATAATGTAGGTCCAATTCCTGTGAAAATCATATCTCAAGCTTCCCTCTATTAGGGAATGCTGTTGTTTCAACAACACACAGTCATTATGAGACAACATGGGTTTAGAATGAGAAGAGACCTCAGAGCAAATTCCCCAGAGAAGCTTTAATGACCAGGAGAAAGACCTTGAACTGGAGGACTCTTTATATGGGAAAAGTCAAGGGATCAAAGCCTCAAGGTGATGTATTCACAATGACTCACGCTGCTAAACAAAAGGACTGCTGCATTTGCTACCAATTGTTAGAAGTTGCAACATTCCAACTTAGATGTCACAAATAAATGAAACATGCCCAGACCTGTATCTAACAGGATGGGCCACAATCTTCTAATCACATTAAAGACAGGATTTTTCTAACCCCATGGTTCTTCAAACTTCCATCAGCATTAATTGAACCTGTCTTGATTCAGTTCTAAGAGCTAAATTCCCATTTAATTAAAAAACACTGTAAACTCAAAGGGATGTGAGTACATGTATCTTTTCAGCTGAACTTTTCAGATGATTCCATTAAAACTGAAGACTGACTCTGGGAAATAAGGACACATGGACCACTGGATTTGCAGTCCTACAGTCAAAATATCCTGCGATGGTGAGACACAGCTACATAAAAGAAGTCATCCTCCCAAAAGGCCAAACACAGGATGTGCCTTAGACTGACAGTAGCACAAGGGATATCCGTCCAGAAATAATATCTCTACATATATGTTTGGTTCAGAGGTGAAATGACAGGACACTGAAGTTACAGAACAGACAGTTAAGTACCTTGGATTTTACTCATCAAGCAACAAAGGAATGTCTTCTTCTGGAGAGAACTTTTCAGTTCAATTAGAGAAGCCAAAAATCTTTGTGCACTGGGGAAGGAACCCTTTTATCTGACAGATTAACTATTTGTGTTAGTTGAATAGTGCAGATGATTCATGCTTTTCAGAAATGAGCACTATGCTGCATCTTGTGATACTTGGGAATCAGCTCCTGGCTGGGGTTAAGATGTTTTGAACCATCAGCTTAGCTAAAACAAGGTGATGTGGTAGAGTTAATGCAACAGATAATAGCAGTTATTTTTACTGGAGACCACTCTACTATCATTTGATACTGTACTTTAGATCCACCTACAGAAAAATTCATAATCAATGATGCCTTCCCACGGTTAAACAGTAGAGGTGCACTGATACATCGGTCCGATATTGGATCAGCGCCGATATAAAGAAAATTGACTATATTGTAAATTGGCCTGGTGTGGCCAATAATTTGGCCGATAAACTGCAGCGCAGAACACAGGCAGTGAGGAGCATGGCCCAGCAGTGTGGAGAGTTGCGTGCAGCTGGTAAATCTGTTGTGGTGAAAGGGGAGGGAGAAAGGAAGGGGCGTGGGGGGTGTGCAGATCAATGCCCCCCATGGTGAAGGAGAGAATGGGGTTGGGGTAGGCACTGGCCAGCTGGGGCAGGTATGGGACAGAGCCATGGCTTGTCCAGGGGGTGCAGGGCAGCTCCTGCCACTGCATGCCGCTTGTCCAGTGGCTCCGGCCGCTTCTCCAGGAGGGTCTGGAGGAGTGGGGGTGGGTTGTGCTCCTGGATCTGCGTGGAGTGGGGTGGGCTGCAGCTGCAGGCTGGGGCAAAGGGCTGTGCTGCGCCCAAAGCGGGTGGTGGTGGGAGGTGGGGGAGGGCTACAGCAAAATATGGGGTGACTGCAGCCCCCCTTCCACAGGCCCCCTTCCAGTGTTGCCACTGCCCACTCCGAGTGCAGCGCTGCAGCCTGCTCGGCCCAGCCAGCACAGATCCAGGGGCACACCCCCTCCCCCGGAAGAGCAGCGGGGGCAGCAGCGGGAGCCACTCCCCATTCCCCACTCCCTGTGGCTCCTTTCCCGCGCCCACCCTGGCCATACACCACCTACATCAGCCCCACTCCCTCCCTCACTGTGATGGGCATTGATCTGCCCCTTCCCACGCCTCTTCCCTCCCCCCTCCCCTTTTACCACAACAGACTTACCAGCTGCACACAGCTGTATCAGAAATCAGATCAGTATCAGCTGATATGCCTCCTTAAAAATCAGCTATTGGTACTGGCCCCTAAAATCTCTATCGGTGCACCCCTAGTAAACAGTCAACTGAATCCCATTCATATTTTTTCCTTTAAGGTGTCAGTGGGCATATCTATACAGTATGCAGTAAAGTGTCACTGCCTACATGTGCAGAACAATTATGACACAGTAGACTAATTTATTGCACTGCCAGATAGTCCCATCAGATACAAGTAGTATCCAGCAGCACAGTAAATTATGCACTTAAACACATGTGTTGATGGTGATGTCAGGATTAGTTTACTCTGGCTCAAATTGACCCAGAGTATATTCAGTCACATTAATTGCACTGTGTAGATGCACCCAGTAAATGACAGAAAAGCTGCTTTGGTTTAACAGAATTTCCTAAAAAGTATGTTTGTGGGCAGCATTGATTTCAATAGCCCAGTCGCATCTGGAAATGCTTTTACTAAACCATGCTATTAAGATGCTGAAGTTACTTCTTAGCTGTAGATAAAGGGAAATATAGTGATCTCATATCACCATGTGGCAACTGCTGGTAAAGTTTGATTTAATGGTTACCACTGCATGGATGTTGCAAAAGGCACCATAATGCAAAGAATGTAGCTTCTCAAAGGTGGGAGGGAAGAACCCCAAAAGGAGCAGCACAGTAAAGGCAGAAGTAAGTTTAGCCTCTGTGGTCAGAAGCCTCATTTATTTTCTTGGTCTCTTGTATGTCAATATGGGGCTTCAAGTTGGCTTTGTTATATACCTGAAAGATTACAGCTTTGGATGTCATGTCTCCAATAAGAGATTCCCAAAACTGAATGATAAATAGGCCATTTTTCCATATCAAACAGGACTTTTCCCCTTCCTTTCTGTTTCTGGTAGCTGGCGCTAATAATCAGAAGCTAAACACTTATCGGCACTTGGACTAGTGATGAAGACAGAACAGCAAAAAATTATTGTTCTGTGTTTTACACCATCTGTCAAAGGGACATCCACATTTTCTCTACCAAACTGTCATGGTTTTCAGACATCTAACTGCTATTTAGTTTTCAACTTTCTGTTAACAAGTAAAGCAGACATACCTGAGTAAAAATATTGTGAGTCTGGCTTAAAATCCACTTTGCATCAGCATCAGGAGCTACAAATAATTTCAAAGTCCCTATGTAAACATCAGTACAAAGAGTCCAGAAGTGTGGATCATGTAGACTGTAAACTCCTTGCAACTGCTGGACCTAAAATACAGGAATGCATGCTTCAAAATGAATTTAGAAACAATGCACATTAACAAATACAAGATGCTTTTACAGAAACATTTACAGAAATGCAGGGACATCCCTTTCAACCTTCACTGGTCCATTAAAGGATTTAGTGATGTTCTTTATTACACATATCCTCTGTTGAAACTTGGCATCACTCATTTGTAAAAACAGTATCACCTGAGGCATGGAAAAAGGCACTTGTAGTTATTGCACTGAGTAAAAGGCATTGCGTATCCACTTATTTTCAACTTAGTCAAGAAGTTTTGTAAAACACCAGAGCTAGTTGGGAATACTGTAGCAACATGTGGTCTTTTTGTTTAAAAAAAAAAAAAAATCTCAATTAATTAAAATTTCCTGCAGGGATGTATACATGCCTTGTCTGCCTCTTAATAAAGATGGAATTTTTTTCTCCCACATTTTGGATGAGTGCTAATTACTGGGCTATGGGCTATTCTGAGGTAAGAGTTCTCCCTCTCTGAACTTCCAAACACTTAAAACATATCAGATTCTGAGTATAAACTGTTTCCATCCAGCTTTTGTATAAACATTAAGTGCGACAACGCAATCTCCTGAACTATTGTGGAAAAACCAGTAACTTTTATTCCTTTATGCATCCTCCTAAGATTGCACAGGAGACACCAACCATATGTAGCACATTTGGTACTGTTTGGGCAAAGAGAAATACATTAAGATCTCAAATCCCAAATATGATTCGTTTACATTTAGTCCCAATACAAATAATATTCTTCACTTTTACAAAGACTAAAATAGCTACTGAGGAGTGAGAGAGTATTCTCTTGACAGAGAAAAAAAAAATTCACCAATAGTTCAACAGCTCCAGCTCTGAACTGAACAACATGCAAGTTCTATATGTAATGCTTGGCTTGGTTTTCCATTATACAGGTCTATATTATGCAGGTTTGCTTTACTACTTGAGAAGGGCTTAGAAATAGTTTGTTCGAAGCCAAAAATGTATACCCTGAGAAAAAAATCTCTCACACACATACAATTACTACCTGGGAGTACAGAATATTTAGAATTAGGGATTTAAGACCATTTTTGGGTATAAATTTAGGATAGATGTTAAGGAAGCAAAGACAGGTTTAGACAACATATGTAAAAAACTTCCCACATACAAATATACAAATATTTGCTGCTTATTCATTGTCCCAAAATGCCAGGGCTCACCCTCTGATAGCACTGAGGCAGAGCATTTTCCAGAGGAGGAGGAGTTCGTTGCATCAAGATTCCAATGGACTCTCTTAAAAGCGGGACAACACTAAAAAGGAAGAAAACTGATCAACATCACACTGTTAAAGGATGCAAAAGGCAACAGCAATATTACCACTTTCTCCCCTAACTAAAATCTGTCCAAGTGAGGATACAGCCACAAGCTTGTGAAAACAGTTACAGAAGTAAAAAAACTGATGTAACTACAGTACCAGAGTTCTATAAAAAAAATGTATCCATTACTCAGCCTACAAACATTTTCATACAAGAATAAGAGTTTAACTTGTGGGTTTTAGTATGGAATCTAAAAAGATGTTCTAAAATTTATACAGAAGAAAACAGTAGGTAAATCATAGAGCAAAAAAGTGTAGTTTAGAACAAAACTCCATTTTAAAAGTTATTTCAATGAGCCATAAAAAAAATGCAGGAATATTGAAAACATTCTTGCTTTTGTGTCTGGCTTGAGACATATTTTTCTTATAAACCAAGATAATAAGGGAAAGATCATAAAACAAAATTATTATGAGCCAGTCTAGCCATAATGAAGTTATTTGTCAAAAAACAGCCAGCTTAGCATATTTAAGTTAACTAAGTTTGGAGGAGGAGGGCCATCCAAGCTCAAACAGTGAACATTTGGAAGTAATTTGAGGTTCCCTCCTAGCTGTCTAGTTTAACCAGCAAAGAAGAGAATGCTTTGCGTCATCCACGATAGAAGGGTTTTAGATGCTGAACAGACTTTACAATAGGGAGATGCAAGTTCAGTCCTCAGGAGCAAGTGCTGCAAGTTCACATGCTCTTTAACAAACACAGCATGCTGCTGAATAAACCACAAATAGGGACCCTACACAGCACCTTAAGAATACTGTAAGTCTGGTTCAGTAAAGCATCATGAAACTTCAGAAAATGAAAAGTATTCCAAGTTATGTACTACATAAAGTGAATTGTACATACATTTCCAACAAGCCAGCATTTTAAAAATCACCTGATATGACCTCTGACAGCAG